TGTCCAATTAATTGAGAGATTGTCACTAAACATCTATCGACACATATCTAGAGTCAAAAGAAGTACTGATTAGTGATAATGTGACTGCATAAACGAAAAACCCAAGGCAGGTCCAGTCTTTTTACACGTAATCATGAAATTTTCAGGTCACCGTCTCTAAACAGATACAAATTCAGCCATGACATTGCCAGTAAAAGTTTGCATAGATAATCATGATCAGGGAACACCTACGACTCATGGCAGAACATTAAACCACGTATGCACACTTAATCGCCAGTGAAAGATCAATAAAATGTTTGAAAAGGCTCAACCAAGTAGCACATTTTAGAACTATGAGGTGAGGCGCAATCCTCAATACAATCTCATTAGACAACAAAAAGTATAAACGATAAAAAAATATGCTCGTAATAAATCATACACACCTTAATAAACCAAATTGATAAAATTAAAAATCTAACAATTAAGTAATAAATAACAAGTCATAAAATTAGTAATTTACATAACAAAATTGTAATCTATCACAAGAAATATATATATAGTAATAAAGGTTTCCCATACATAACTGCTAATGGATTTTTAAGAGAACCATCACAATATTTGATCCATCTATTACCATCCCCGTGATTGTCAGTTTCTTCTTATTCTTTTACCTAATCCACCACTTGCAGTGGATATTCCCTTTCCTGTTCTCCTTCCCCTTCCCCTTCCCTTTCCCTATAAGGGCAGTAGAAGGAAACAAAGACAACAAGAAGAAGAAAAACATGAGGAAAAGAATGAAGTTATGTGCCTTCTCACTAAAAAGTTGTTCACTTGAGATAGAGATTTATAGCACTTCAATTGTAGGAAGCAAGGGCACACTTGTTCTCATCTCTATTCTCCAATTCTTTTTTCACCCCTAATTTTTAAGCTGTGTTTAAAATAGTCCAAAAATAGTAAAACATTCTATGGTCTAAAAAAAAGTGAGGCTAGTAATAGAAAAATTCAGAATTGGCACAACAAATGAGCACAAGGTGTAACCTTGGAGCATTTAATAGAAGTCTATTGTGATGCGTGCCTAAAGACACAAGTCTCAGGCAATCCCTTAAATAGTAGATGCGTAAACAGGCAAAAGTAGAAAGGTGTGAAGGGAATTATGCATTTTGTGATCTTTAATATCCAATTTTAGCAAATCCACGTAATAAATTTCAAACCAATATCGTGTGAGATAAAATGTCCTTTTATCACATATTCTAGTAAGTTATACAATCCGAACATTCTCCACGGGTAGCTTCACCTATGTGAATCCAAATCAAACATCATTCATTTTAAGTTTGAGTTAAGCCTCGGCTGTTATCCACACGTCAATCCGTACGGTATGGATACGTCACTACATAAATTCCAATTTTTTTTTATTTTTTTTTTGGCATGAGACAGGAAATTAAAAAAAGTGGCTAAAGTAGCAGTGACAGTGCAACAAAGCTACGACTGTTGAGTACGGCGTCGGGGAGGGGATAATAAATGCTGGGGGGCGAGACCCCTAGCTCCATTCCCCTCCAAGCTTTTTTATCATTTTTATCCATCTAATAATAATGGAAAAACACCAAGACAATTTTACTCTGACCCAAAATAATTACATAAAAGAATTGTAATCTCATTAAACAAAAGAATTGTATAAATAAATTGAGGGGAAAGTAATTACCTAGCATATTGAAGAGACCAGTAAAAGTACTGGCAAATCTTCTCTAGAATGGTTGTGCTTATCTCTGGAAAGGTCACTTCTCCATGTTCCGTTTCAGCAAAACTCCCTAAAATTCACCAACAGACACAATCTCAAGAACAAAGAATCTACAATTTCCAAGAAACTATTTTCAAGACACAATAAAAACACAAATCAAATCCAAAATAACAAAATGAAGCAGAAAATATCATAATTAATTTTCAAAAACCTAATTTTACAAAAACTACAAAATCTAAAATCAATCAAATAAAATGAATTGAGAACATCATTTCATAGTACCAGCTGTCGTCTCAACATAATCTATGGCATGCGGAATAAAATTAGAAGACTGAAATCAAAGAAATTAAGTTATTAAACAGACAAAAAGTAAATAAAATCAAATAATTCGTCGATTTCACGAGAAAAACCAAACCAATGACATTCAATAACCGACGAAGTAAAATATGTCAAATTTCCAAATAATAATGAAAATTTCAAAACACATATAATTATTCATGATTTCGAATGATTTTTCTATTCCCTGGTGACAGACCTGGAGAGGTGAGCATGTTGCGGATTGTTTGGGAGACCATTGCGGCCTTTTTATCGATGACGAATTCGAAGCCCTCGGCGCTAATCAGCTTCACCATGTCTTCCTTCATCTTCACTCGGCACCAAACTACGAAATTTTGCCCAAAAATCGTGTAGCATACAGAGGACTTCACGTATAGGTAATTTGGTTCTCGATTATGATTTTTTTTCTTTTCTTTTATTAAACCATGAATTAAAAAGAGTTAAATTTAAAAAATCACTCAAACTAATCCCTGTTTGAGCAACATTATTTGTTTCATTCTCATTCTTCTACTCATTTTCAATCACACATTCCTCAATAAAATAATATTTTCCATCAAATCAATAACTTTTTCTTCATTTTCAACCACATATTCCCCCTCACGTCATTTCAAAAAAATGCATTCTCTCATTTTAATATACACCAAATAGGCTGGTCACAGACCGTTCATAATTACTCACCAAACTTTAGACTCCGTTTGGTGCACATTTTTGGAAAAGAATGCATTTTTACTGTTGATGTGATGGGGAATATGTGGTTTAAAAAGAAGGAAAATTTATTGATGTGATGAAAAATATTATTTATTAAAAAATGTGTGGTTAAAAATGAGTAGAAGAATGATAATGAAAAAAATAATTTGTCAAACAGGGCCTCAATGTACTTCACATTGCTTATCGAACTTTTCACGTTAACATTCCATCTATTATCCTCAAAATTCTGTTACCTTATTCACTAACGTGAAAAACAGATATTTGTTGTGACCGTTCATGCCAGTTAAAAACACACCAATGTTATCTTAAAAAAAGGTTGAACCCCAACCTTGAGGGTCCCCACCGACCTGCCCATAGAGCATGGTGTAGAAGGTAAATCGCGGAATATACCTTATCAGGTCAGGGTACAAAAACTGTCATTCATTTGGTTCTCGATTATGATTTTTTTCTTTTCTTTTATTAAACCATGAATTAAAAAGAGTTAAATTTAAAAAATCACTCAAACTAATCCCTGATTGAGCAACATTATTTTTTTTATTCTCATTCTTCTACTCATTTTCAACCACACATTTCTTAATAAAATAATATTTTCCAACACATCAATAACTTTTTTTTTTCATTTTAAACCACATATTCCCCCTCGCATCACTTCAAAAAAAATGCATTCTCATTTTAATGTGCACCAAATAGGCTAGTCACAAACCGTTCATAATTACTCACCAAACTTTAGACTCCGTTTGGTGCACATTTTTGGAAAAGAATGCATTTTTACTGTTGATGTGATGGGGAATATGTGGTTCAAAAAGAAGGAAAATTTATTGATGTGATGAAAAATATTATTTATTAAAAAATGTGTGGTTAAAAATGAGTAGAAGAATGATAATGAAAAAAATAATTTATCAAACAAGGCCTCAATGTACTTCACATTGCTTATCGAACTTTTCACGTTAACATTCCATCTATTATCCTCAAAATTTTGTTACCTTATTCACTAACGTGAAAAACAGAGATTTGTTGTGACAGTTCATGCCAGTTAAAAACACACCAATGTTATCTTAGTAAGCATAAAACATTGTGCCAAATTTAATGAGAAACACACATTTACCTTGTCTAAAAACTGGAACAAGAATTTTTTTTTTTCCTTTCGAAATCAAAATCACCATTACGATTTTTTCCCAGATCGTCTTCTCCATAAACCTTAGAGGCTATTGCTTGAGGAAGATTTCCATTTTGGAATTCGCTTTGATTCCCAGTCTCATACCTACCTTAGTTTTTGCTTCCGGGGTACGAAGCTACGACTTGGAAGCTTTCGTTATGCTCTATTGAGAAAAGGGCTTTGCAGAAATTGCTAACAAGTTTGATCATTTTGGATTGGTACCAAAACCAAGTTTTATGCAAGTCAACCCTAGCTATTGGGGTGATAGAAAATTTGAATTTAAATGTTGATGTGATGGATAATGGTAATATTTTTCGTTTTAATGAAATAATAATGTTGATCAAACGGGACTATTGTTTTAACAATAAAAAAAATTCTCAATATGACACAGTATTTTGATTGGGGATAAATGCGCCCGCTGAGTATTGAATTGAACCATAAAAAAGAGAGAAAATTACTAAATCAATCCGACAAACATGCACTAGTTAGGAATGGGGAGTCACTAACTTTCCCATAACCCATCCACCCCCATCATTGCACACTAATTTTTGTCAACTCCACCAAAACGACGTCACTTTAACACCATTTATTTGTCCCCCACCCACATAATTGCCCTTTGTAAATGAAAACAAACATACATTAGTCTTTGCCCCCCATTATCCTTCATTAAATTATAATTTATTTTTTTATTTATTTTTATCAATCATATATTTTTCAATAAAATAATATTAAATTGAAAAAATTTATTTTTTTCATCACACATTCTCCGAAAAATTATTATCCCTCTCCTTATCATAAATTAAAAAATAGGATAAAGCTGTTTGTACACCAGGTGTACTTAAACCTGTCTCACTTGAATAGTGTGCGCGAATATTTTATTGTGTGTGGGACCCCCTCCATACGAGGGGTGTAAAAAATTGTGTAAATGATTAAATACATGTAGCATGATAATGATTGTAAAAAATAATAGGGCCAAACCGGCGCATGAAATGGAGAAAGACATGGCGCAGTAACTAGTAAGTACCCATTACCCGTTTAACATATAACATGATTGTAAAATATAATAGGTCCAAACCGGCGCATGAAATGGAGAAAGACTTGGCGCAGTCACTAGTATGTACCCTTTACCCGTTTATATTGGCCGTTTCAATAGACATTACACTGCCATTGTTTCTTCCGTTGTTCTTATCATTTCTTACACTGTTACACACCAATTTTCCTTTTTCTTTTGAATTTTCACGCACCGTTTTCACTCCGATCTCTCCTTTACGGTAAGCCATGATGATCCATTTAATATTTTTATGGTATTATTCATACTTTTTTCTGCAAAGTTATTTATGTATTTTCATGTAAGAGTTTCTTTCCTTTTATGGGTTTTTTGAGATTTAAATATATAGATCTGAATATTATGGATCTAATTTTGTTCTTCGTTTCTGGTTTATGGGTTTTCTTGTGTAGGTGCGAGGGATTACGGGAAAAAATAGTTGAAAGAGATGGCAAATAGAGTTGATCATGAGTACGATTACCTGTTCAAGATCGTTTTAATTGGGGATTCAGGAGTTGGAAAATCAAATATTCTTTCCAGGTTCACCAGAAATGAGTTTTGTTTGGAGTCCAAATCCACCATTGGAGTAGAGTTTGCCACCAGAACTCTTCAGGTCAGTATTATCTTGTTGTTTCCCGTTCTATCTGTTTTTTAATCATCATCTAATATACGAGGAATGAGATAGACTGATGTAGAAATTGTTAAGTGAGTAGTGTTATTTTCTAAGAAATGTTTTATGTATCTGTGCGGCTGACTCTGTGTGTGTGTGTGTGTGTGTGTGTGTGTTATAATTATTGAGTGGACTTGGGTGGTTGGGATATGTTTGATTGAGAAATATGTTAATTATGGCACAAAGAATGACTGACAATGGTTTATGATTATGATTTTTCACTTAAATGAAACTAATACACTGTTGACATTGGCTTGTTAGAGTTGAAAGCAACAATTTCGACTTAAATTCATGATTGGAATCTATATAGTGTGGTTATTTTCCTTCCATGTCTTTTGTAACTGTCGTGGTCTACAACCTACAGTTTCATACGTTGCAGTTTCATAGTAGATAACATTTGGGTTATGGATATAGCCTGTTAAGATTTCATACCACTATGCCTGTATGTTCTTAAAAGAATTCATTGAGCCGAGGGTACGTTTGGTATATTGTATTATTGTGCTGCACAATATAACACGACGAGTTTTATTTCTTTCTCTTTCACTAAGGTACAGTTTGCTATTCTATCCTCCTTGCCAAACGTATCACGATGTTTTCTGCAAACTCAAACTAATCCTCAATAGTTCATATTATAAACTCGGTACCGGAGTCATTTAGTACTCGTGGGGGGAAACATTTCAACTACCTACTTGTTCAGCCATTTTTGTAGTTATTGCAGATTTCGCTTCTTCTTGTTTCATAGTTATATTCTGCGATAGAGAGCACAGCTGGGTCATAGAAATGCTGATGCTGGTAATTTATGATACAGATAGAAGGAAAGACGGTAAAGGCCCAGATATGGGACACTGCAGGGCAGGAAAGGTATCGAGCTATTACAAGTGCTTACTACAGAGGAGCTGTTGGTGCACTTCTTGTTTACGACATAACTAAGAGACAAACCTTTGACAATGTCCAGAGGTGGCTTCGGGAATTGAGAGACCATGCCGACTCTAACATTGTCATCATGATGGCCGGAAACAAATCAGACCTGAATCATCTCCGAGCTGTTTCGGATCAGGATGGTCAAACTTTTGCTGAGAAGGAAGGACTGTCATTCCTTGAGACTTCGGCACTGGAAGCACGTAATGTTGAAAACGCTTTTCACACCATTTTGACTGAAATATACCACATCATTAGCAAGAAGGCATTGGCAGCCCAGGAAGCAGCAGCAACCACCATACTTCCCGGTCAGGGTACTACCATCAATGTTAGCGATTCATCTGGAAACATGAAGAGAGGCTGCTGTTCTACTTGAGTTGAGTTTTCAGTTAAGGAGATGATATTTGGCAACAAGCACGTACTCATGTTCCTAATTTCCCGTTTCGTTCTATTTTCCTTCCTCTGGGGCAAAAGAGTCTTGTAGAATACTTGAGTCAATGGGATGGAAAACGAGCTTGTGAATGTTCAAAATGTAAGTGGTTTAGGATATATATTTTTGTCATTTGGAAGTGGCTGATACTGGTGATGTTGGTTCACTACCAATTAACTGTCTTCATCTGAAAGGATTTGGGACAAAAGAGGTGGTATTGTAAGTGTAGTATCTCTATTTGGACGTCTTCTACTTCAATTTTACTCTGTATTAAATAGGAATTTTAAGTATTTTTTGCCTCTATTAATCTACACTTTTCTGAACTTTATTTTATATCCTTTCATTAAAACCATGACAGTGTAATTTCCATTTTGATGCTTAGTACAGCGTTTTTAAGTTGCAGTTGGCATATTGGTTCAATGGGGTCAGAACTTAGAAGTTACTTTAAGACGAATGCGTTTGCTAAAGAAAAGTAGAAGTATCGCCTAGTCCAAAAAATTAATTTTGAAAGTTTTCACTTACTTTTCTTTTGAATACTTTTACTTCTAGGGTTAGGGGTAATTAGCACGTAACGTCCCAACATTTCATTGTTATTGTGAAAAACGTCAATATCTTTCATTTTTTGGTATTTTCACCATTATTTCACATTTCATTGCGCAAAGGTCTTTTTTGTCTATTTTTTTCAATTAAAAATTATAAAATGACAGATATACCATTCTCTATAAATAAAACAATAAGAAAAAGAAAAAAAATTAATTGTAACCATAGTTCGAAGATTTTTTAAAAAGCGCAAATGAGCTCCAAATAAATTATTAAAATGGTAGAAGAAAAGGAAAAAATTAATTGTAACCATAGTTTGAAGGTTTTTTTAAAAAGTGCAAATGAATTTTAAAAAAATTGTTAAAATGGTAATTAGTACGAAATGCTCCCATCTTTCACCGTTATTGCGAAAAACGTTCATACCTTTTATTTTTTTATTTATTTTTTTTGCATTTTCACCCTTCATTACACCTTTTATTGTAACTCGTTTATTGTAACTCGTTTATTGTAACTCCCATCTTTCACCTTTTATTGTGCAAACCATTATTTCCATCCATTTTCATCCAATTTTTCTATACAAAAATGTAAAATAATGAATATACTTTCTTATTTAAATAAAAATATGTTTTAATTTCTAATTTTTTAATAATTTATTTGTGACTCGTTTGCGCTTTTTAATTTTTAAATAAATTTAATTGGGACTCGTTTGAAATTTAATTTTTTTAATTATTTATTAGGGATTCGTTTGCAATTTTTAAAAATATTTGGGACTATGGTTACAATCAATTCTTTAGCTTTATTTATTTAAATATGAAGGTATATTCGTCATTTTATAATTTTTTGTTGAGAAATTGGATGAAAATGGATAAAAATGATAGTTTGTGCATTTAATTGTGAAAATGCCAAAAAAAAAAGGTATTGACTTTTTTGCAATAATAGTGAAATGAAATGTATAAACATTATGTGTTAATTACCATTTTAATAATTTATTTGAGAATCATTTGCGTTTCAAAAAAATTTGGGACTATGGTTGCAATTTTTTTTTATTTATTTAAAGAGAAGTGTATATTCGTCATGTCACAATTTTTAATTGAGAAAATAGATGAAAATGACATTTTGGACAATGAATAGTGGAAATAAGGGTGAAAATGTTAAAAAGTGAAAGGTAATGACGTTTTCCAAAATAATAGCGAAAGGTGAGGACGCTATATGCTAATTACTCTTGGGTTAGCTATGGTGGAATTTGTTTAAGGTAAAGATACCTGGTATAAACTAGTGGAGAATATGCTTTCCTTTTTTGGTCCCCCTTTATAATTCTTCAATGCATGAAAGGAGCAACACAATTGCTGATGCTTTGGTCAAATATCTTGCTCAAAAGGGAACCTCTCAAATTGCTTGTGGCTCAGAGTGCAAACTTTTAACTGGGATTTTTAGCCAGCCAAGAAAAAGGAGACTCTGCACCATACTTCCCCTATTATGGATTCTCCACTCTACATATTGTTAATATTTTAATATTGTAACTCTTATGCATTATTTCTTATGATAATTGTATGTTATTATAAGTTTAACCTTGAAGAGTTGCTCAATTGGTTAGACCTTATGTTTGCTCTCCAATGGTCACCGGTTCGAGTCCCCTCAGGACTACTGAGGTGAGTACACAGCCGTAAACTTCAGGGCCCTGCGAGATTAGTCGAGGTGCACGCAATCTGACCCAAACATCCACGATTATAAAAAAAAAAAAAGTATTACAAATATTTTACTAAGGTGGAAGGTGTGGTGTTATTTATACACTCGATTATTTTGAAAGTTTTAGACTTCATAATGTTGGTTTATTATTATTATTAAAATTCAGGTTTAATATTTGTTTTATTGCACTGTTAATATAATACTTATATTGTTTATATTATGATATTGTTACTCATATTATCTATATGTACATAATGATATACAAATAGCATTACTCTTATTTCTTAGCGTCAATGACTTGATAAATAATTGTTCACGCTACAAGGTTGCTAGTGAGATTTTAAAATGACCCAATTTAAAATTAGTAAGGTTGATCAAAAACTTGTGCATAGATATATGCCAATTTAAATTTCTATATGCATTCATCAACTAATCATTAGTAGTTAACGAGCACCTCGTTAGTCTTATTTCTAACGTGACAAATCGAAGCTTGCGCTCGTATGGATTTTATACCCGTTTATGCTCCAATATTTGTGTAATTTCGTCGAAGGTAAGTGGCTATAGAGACTCGTTGTTTCTTAGTTTTCCATCCCACATTTGTTAAAAATCAAGAATTCAATTTCTTCTCAACAGATATGTCACCTTAACAGCGTTAACCTTGCCATAAAGCAACTCAATGACATCAACCAAAACTGAGTTCAGTCTGCATCTTTTCTTCTTTGAATCTTGATCCTTGAACATTAATTCATTATTAATTAGTCCACAACATCCCTCAATCATTCAAAATTCATGCAAATGCAAGTTTCAAGAGTGTGAAATTAAGTTTCTAAACTTTTCAAACATCACTTCTAGCTCCCAAAACTTGTGATCACTTCCAATTGATCAATTGTAACCCGGTTGATCATCAATTTTTCGACTTTTTCTTGCTAATGCATTCCAAATGCATGCAAGTCGGGGATTTGCGTATAATTAGCATATTTACACCTAAATTAAGTAAATATTCGCTCAATTAATCATAAATAAGTGCATCATATACACTTATCAATTATCATATGGCTTCCCGTTAATGCCCATAGGTCAGCCAATAAACTTATTCCAGTTCCTTAAAGCTTGTAAAATGCAAAAAGAAGTTGCTCGTTTGATATCTTAATATGCTGCCTCATGTGGAGGTTTCTTTTCTAGTAACTATCGTTATTTCAGCACTATATTCACAGTGATTTACTATTGTCTTGTGGAGAAAAACAACCATGGAGGGGAGAGGTTCGCACGACATGCTATTAGCTCAATTACGATGTAGATCCTTGATAATTTGTGTGAATGTGATCCTCCCTAATTAATAAAATATTTCTACACGTGGAAAAATATATTAACTAAATTTATCATTTATTGTCGCTTGAATCTCAAGATATTATTCCAAACATCACATATTTTACTGAAATAGGTGCAAATCCTCCCTCAAAACCATATGTGAGACTTCCATCTCGTAAAACTCAAGCAAAAACTATTGATAAGCAATTGAGTTGTTTCATTAATAAAATTATCACAATCAATATTGGATACTGAAAGTGTTGTAATCAAAACTTTAGGGACTAAATTATAATAAATAAATGAGACTTGAAACTTCCCATCCAAAATTCAAAATTTTCAGTGCAACCCACACCGAGGCCCACCCTCTGTTCTTCAGTATATAAATCAAAAAGTCAAATTGTATTTGATTTCTGAAACTCCCAATTGGACAACCAAATGCATCGCGACCCTCATATGAAGCTATCTTAACCTAAAAGGTCGTCTCCACTCCAGCCGCACACACTGCACAACAACAATACGGCTGCAGATTTATCCAAAATAATATTTCATTTCTTGTTTCCTACATGAACAATTGAAGCTTCAATTCTTGGGTTTTTATTGTTTGATTTCCCTTTTTGGTTTCTGGGAATCTAGGGTTTGTCATTTGGTTTAGAGTTTGAGAGAGAGCGGAGATGGCGTCAAATAGGCAGGTCTTAGAGCCTGCCGTTCTAGATGATATTATCAATCGATTATTGGTGTTTCGCAATGCCAGGACGCCACGGCAAGTCCAGCTTTCAGAGAACGAGATCCGCGCTCTCTGCACCACAGCTCGCGAAATTTTTCTCTCGCAGCCGAGTCTCCTTGAGCTCGAAGCACCCATCAAGATTTGCGGTATTCCTATTTGCTTTATGATTATGTATATGCACCATGCGTGTGCATTGAAAGTTTGCAATTACATTGTGATTTGTGAAGCTTATGACTTGTGTGGGAATTTGCTCGAAGAATATAAATATTGAAACGGTTGATGAATAGTTGACAACCTTTTTTCTCCCTCCGAATGGAAATGTGGGTTCCATAGTTACAATTTTGTGGTAGTGGCACTTAAATACAAGGACACGTATACTTGTATTCACGCATATCTGTGGAACATGCTTACATGATTATATTTTCTTTTTAATGCAAGGTTGATTAATGGAGTAGTGTGAACGGAAGGTTAAACCAGTTTCCGTGGGAACAGTTTTATAATGAGGAGTTTTCCGTGGTAGGAGGATTGAAGCAATTCTTTTCTGCTCCAGACACTGAATATATTTTCTGCAATGCACACATCTAAAATAGTTTATCCTGTCAAATCTGATATTTGCTATCATTTTTTCATTTATATTTCATGAGCTTCTTTTTTGACTCTTGAATATGCATTGACTTGAAGTATGCAT